ATTGAACATATTTTGGAATGTAAAGCACTTTACCGACTGTCTTCGATAACTGGAGGTCAATTTATTGCAAATACCAATCGATGCAACGAAACATTCCCTCTTCTATCGCATCATACTACTGACACTGTAAACTGACTATCTAAACAAGTCTCAAATAGAAACATTACTACATACCAACAGACTGATACCTATGGCGATAAGAACAACTAAAGTATCTCCTCTCATAGAACCTCCACCACTTGCGGCGGTTATCGTTACTATACCACTACTTGAGTCTCCTTCGCCATAGCAATTGATATCATACTTATTTGGAGCAATCAAATTCCAATCATTTGGCGTCGGGAGGTGCTGAAAATCGCCGCAGCTAGATACAATGCACACGTTGAATGACGGACAAAAGAAGTTGGTACGCGTCTCTTGTTTTGTCTGATTTACTTGTTCGTAACATATTGTTGCATTATAGTTGGGGCAAACTTGCGTAGGGCATTTAGCACCTTGTGTTGAACACATCATAGTGCTGTTCATGGTTGATAAGAAAGGATAGCTGGCTAACTTGGGTCGACTCGCTATTTATCCCGAACAAAAGCGTTTTGTGGAACTGAAAGTTTCCAAGAACGAAAAACTGTGTACCATCCACACACATTATACGGTCTTTGTCCAACACTACGCAGCTCCGCCAACTCTCTAAGCCTTACTTCCAAGCATTGATTACCCTCAATCCAGAACTGATGGCAGCCAAAGTTGGAATTCCACAACTAGCTCGTATGATTCTGCTAATTGAGAGCCACAGTTGATGTGGAGGATATGCAAATCTAGGTAAATCAGAAAACAACTGTTGCAAACTTGTCGGGCTAGCGATTCTATCAAGGATTAATGACTAATGTGCCGTTTCCCACAGTAAACTGTTTAATCCATGCTCTCTTTCACTCAAAACACATGAACAAGGAAGGTATCACATGGTTGTGGAGAAAAAGTACTATTCTATATCGACATGAAGCTGCCGACTTCAAGTGCGGATACATAGGCAGCATGAAGGAATGAAACGAGATCCATCGATGTTCCCAAGTACTTGCAATCAAAACGAAGGACTATAAATTCAGTCGTTTTAAACAGCTCGAATAGAAAGAAAAAAGCTGCTTTTGGAAAGAATCATCAGAAAGGCAACCCAGGTAATACTTTTTTGTCACAAGTATAAAAATGGTTATAAACATGCACTGGCCACCTTTTGCAATAGTTGAAGCACCTCTGACAATTGTACGAAAAAATGCAGATTTGCATTTTTTTACAAGGTTATCTTCAACAACGCGGTGTACTCTCTTCTGCCTGATCATACTAGCTATAGTTTTGAAGTATGCCTAATCAGCTGCATATGGAAGCACTACCACATACCATGATACGGATACCTATGGCAATAGGGAGCAAGCAAAGTATTTTCTCCCATGGCATTTTCACTGGACACTTCCGTCAAAGTAAGAAATTCTTTTCTTCGTTCTGGCATTTGATACCGTATCCATTGGCGTTGGCTAAATCCAAATACTCTGGTGTCAGGAGAGATTGAAGATCTACGCAGCTATTAGCAATGCATCTATTTATTGACGGCATGAGTACGTGATGAACAAACTGCCGCCACTCATGCGGTTTGATTGCTTGTAAAAAATGGTTACTTTGTAGAAGGGACAGACTGGCTTTGCATATTGGTGCTTCACAATACAGTCCATAATGCTGTAAGGTTGCGGAGGAAGGATGGATATTTGGAGCAGTTTACATTAAGTTATGGTTATTTACCTGTACTGAAACTGCGTTCGTAGAACCGAAAGTTCCAAATCTACCAGCTTTACACAAGTACAAATATCATATTATCTATGCGTACACTACTATATAAGCCTTAGGTTACAAGCTTTATTTACGATCAAGGTCATATCCATTCCAATGACATCAGTTATTCTTCACCACAACTCATCCAAGCCACCGAAAAAGGTACGTTACAATGCACCATCCTCGTACTATCTGACAGTTCACAGTTTGTCGTACTGTGCTTAGAGGGGATTTGATGCAGGTGGTGCAAGGAGCAACGTTTGAATGGAGAGGTAAGAGAAGTTGATCTGGAAACTCACTTTACATATTTCAACGAGCGAGAATTTATCGGACGGTCAGTTCAGTTGCGCGCACAAGATTACTGGCTTTCACACTCTCTCAAACGGACTTTTATTCGATCTTTCACCCTCTTCAAACCAAAATTGACTCCGTCGTGCTGCAAGCGAATATCTACAGTAAGCTAACCTCACAATTGCTTCACGTCTGATGTGGCTCTCATTCTCCTGGTCTAAAATTATGTTGAGCTGATCTATCGTCTAACTGTAAGACACCAGCTTTGAAGGAAAGTTTTATGTGCCTATACGAGCAAAGGTCCAACAACACACTCCGTTTCTGAACTTTTGTTAAATGGACGATTTCATCCATGGACAAGGACCAGCATGTGACGAAAATTTCTCTCTATATCTCGCATCTACTATCCGTTAAAGGTGTACACAGCTCGAGGAGATGTGAGCATTGTGCTCCTATATCAGCTTGCGGTGGTTGATACAATGTAGGTAAGATGCAGATATACGAGATGGAGCAGCTGGTAGCATGTAGCATACCCATGGCTCTATGCATTTCTGTTTTATGGTGAATTGCTTTTAGCTCCCAATATACATTTTCATACACTGAATGTTGAGACTATGACAGTTTTGATGTGCATGCTTAAACTTTCAATGTTGACAGTGGCTAACATAGCGATGAGGGAACTTGAAGGTACACAATTATTACTTCGTCCGCTAACATACAGAATCTTTCTGGTGTAATTTCAATTTTTTTATTACTACGTTAATGATATCACTAGAATAAACATTTTTTCTTGTTATTGTGTTAACTACATTCCAATGCCTTGCAAAAGTCTAGCCTTTGCTCTTATGTTACGTCATTTTTGTACAGCTCGTTTGAAAGACTATTGAATATTCGTGACCAGTACAGCAGGCAGGAGCCCCGTTGCACTGTTGCCCATCTGATGGAGCGCATCCAAAGCCCACCAAGTTATTGGGTGGCACATCCGTTATATTCAAATTCTTGAAAAGATGCTTTACGTCGGCGCTGGAGGAACTGGCTATCTCATGGCAGCAAAATAAAGCGTCCTTGGGACACACTATGCCTGTGCTACAGACCGCAACCAGTGTCAAAAGTATGTATAACAAAATGCTGTATGTTTGTTGTATTGTGGCTTTTTGATATAAATTTGGCTGTGTTAGTGATTTCAATTGATGTGTATATCGCGCTCATCATTTCCAGATACCTACCAAACATTGTACTGGATTAAAGCGATGTCGATTAGAGTTGCTACTCTATTGCTGCTGATTTATACCACAGACATCGGGCTCTCTCCTGAGCATCCTAACCCCTATCGGTAAGGAAGACGGGAGCCTTCTCAATTCCTACATGTTTTCTGCATTCATGCTGCTTCTTACAATGTGCTGTGCATGCTATTACCTGCTAAGTTTCCGAAGTATAATATGCTTTAGTTGTCCTGAGCGAAACGCTTTGTTATAAAATAATAGATAGCAGTCCCGGAAAAAAAATTGTCGGCTTGGCATTATTTTCGAGAACATGAGCAGCAGAAGCTTGATCTTCTTACCTCTAAAGTTTTTCTTTTCTTGCTCGCATCACACGCCACTACTAGGGATACTCTCTGGTTGGGAGGATGTCTCCTGTTACTCCATGGCCAATTCCGGTTTTCTCAAAATGTCAAGTGATATGCAAGCCTTACAGAACAACCTGGAAGAAAATTACAATGACCGCTGGTGAACCATACCTTTGCCCCAAATAATTTGATATCTTGAAACATTAGCATGCATCGTTAAATACACACCCGATTAGAAAAAATTAGCTTAGATCTAGCTATCCGTATACCTTACTCATAACCATGAATTGCAGATTCAGATCACCATCCTGTTTTATCATAGAGATGAAGATCGAACTACACCGTATTCACCGCTTTGCATAGGGCTGTCCCTCAAAATTCTTCCAAAGAATGAAATAAAGCCATCAAAATGATCGCGAACCCGCGTTTGTCAAAGCGATCTCTACGCCTTGACTTTCCAAAAAAATCACAATATTTACAGGGGTCAAGGAGAGAACTGTTGGGCTTGAGACTTGTCAAACTCTCACTTAAAACACCATACCCCGCAACTGCAGCACGACCGGTGCATTTCAACGCCCATCGATGGAATTCGAAGCTTTTTTTATATCAGTTGGACTCTAAGTGGTTTGTCTGCCACTCCCTTTAAACTCACTATAGACCTAAATCCTCCGACAGCCACTATAGTCCTCTTTTTTTTTGGAAAAAATAAATCAATTCGCACATACATTGCATCATTTAAATATAAAAATTGAATATCCTTGCAATGTCTTTTCAGAAATATTGGATACCGTTAGATGTCTGTAGATTGAAGCTTCAAAAATTGTGAATTTCAGATATCTGATAATGTTCATATGACTGATCACCGTAAAATTTCATCTATAGAACGAGCTATGCAAATGGAAATAGAGATACATACGTAGACAGTTGAAAAGATTATAAATTTTAATATGTTACAAGAGAAATCTTCACTTGTCTGCAAACTAACAATAAAAAAAGAGTAATCAAAGCACTGTAAACGAAAGCAAGTGCAGAAATTATACTGTAAGTTGTCTCTTTAATATATCCTTAAAGCTACCTATAGCATTCATAAGCTGAAATGAGACAAGTAAGTCGCAGTAATTTACGTAAATATAAGTACACTAGTGCGAAAAAGTGTACTTGCAAAATTATTATATGACTTATGTTACCTCCATCTACTGCTTCAAGCTGTATGTGTAACCTATTTGCAGGTCCCTTACATTAATAATGAGTAGAAATAAAGGTGCAAGGTAAATGCAGATATATTTTAGACTCATGTATCACATGACATTTTGGCCGACATCAACAAGACGGTATGGCCTAATGGATAAGGCGCCAGACTTCGGATCTGGAGATTGAGGGTTCGAGTCCCTTTACCGTCGAATTGATTTTTTATTGGTGACCATCAAAAACTCCGCCAATCATTTTTTGATTTAAAATGCGGAGTTTTTATCGGATGACGTGATTGAACAGGGCAACTCGTAATCTGGCAGTTTCTTGAAAGAATTTTGTTGCGATCGTTCAATCAACGCTCCTCGCGCAGTTTGCTCTGTGGTGTAAGTTGTATCACCAAGCCGCGCCGGCTGTTCATTGTCTAATGTTTTGCCGTCTGACCTTCTCACGCAGTTTGCTCCGTAGCGAAATGAGATGTGTTGAGGTTTCGGTGTGCCTGATCATCGGCGTTTACGTCCTTTGGACTTTTTGAGTATCTACTCTGTAACCAGCTTCAAAAGCAAGTATAATTTTTTTCCAACTAAATTGATAGAGCATCACCTTATGTAGCCTTTACTGCAGTGTAGTCATTAATTTTTTAGTTTAGAGTAAAAATTATGTTCCTTTGTGTGGCAAATGGGGAGGCAGTATTAAGTGTGATTTGAAAAATTGAAATGTCGTGAGACCAAAACAGAAGGATCAACGTTTTCTTTATTCAGTGATACTATCATTGTAAACACAAGCAGTTGTAGAACTAACTCTAACCATACACTCTTCAAAATTCGCTCCATCTAACCTCAACAGCAAAATGTGTGGACAGACAATAGTATTAGTCAAACTGGGTGCTCTGCACAAAACTCCAAAGCAACGCGGGTTAGCACATCGGTCACTTGGTATATAGATGAAATTGTGGCCCACTCCACTGCCGCATGAGCTCCATCGCCATCGACACCGAACAAGATAGCAGGAATTCCATGGTCAGCAAGCAAGGCAGCATCAGTCCAAAAAGGCTCTGCACGAATGACCGGACTATGACCAAGCACATCTTGGGTATGCTTCAAGAGACAAGTAGCAATGGGGTCAGTCGGTTCAACTTCTAAAGGAGCACGAGATAGTCCTTGCCTTAAAGTATACTGGAAGTCATCGACTGTATTGACTAAATCATCAAGAATACTCCTCATCTGGGCCTCAACAATATATGCATTTTCGCCAGGAACCGTACGACGCTCAATAGTAATGGTACATTTCGCAGGATAAGAAGAAGGTTCCTCACCACCTTGGATAAGTGACGCATGCACTGTGCCTGTGCCAAGAACGGGATGACGAATATATGGCTCTTTGGACTGCATTAAATCCTGACCATATTTTTCCAAAGCCACTAAGAAATGACCTGCCTTTGCAATGGCGTCGATACCCAATTCTGGCCGCGATCCATGGGCAGCTTTACCAATGACATCGATATAAAACCAAACAAAGCCCTTATGTGCCATTGTGACTTGTAGGTAAGATGGTTCACTTACAATAGCAGCATCAGCTCGCCAACCAGCTTCCAGAACCTCCTGAGTGCCGATACTTGCATTCTCCTCATCTGCTACGGCTGCTATTATTATGTCTCCACCAACACCATGATCCTTCGCAGAGACAGCGGCGATCATCGATGCAGCCACACCAGCCTTCATGTCGAATGCACCTCGGCCATATACACATTCGTTGCGGATTTCACCACTAAGAGGATCACCATGGTAGCCAGCAAGCGTGACAGTGTCAATATGACCATTGAACATGAGCGACTTGCCTCCTTTACCAGACCCACGTGCAACTCCAATTACAGAAGGACGTCTAGGATGTTTTTCAAGTACACTGATCTCGAACTGACGATGGGCCAACCAAGCAGAAATATAATCTGCAATCTTGGTCTCCCCTCCACCACCTCCTGACGACAGATCCGGGTTGGGAGAATCAATGCGTACAAGAGCTTGCGTTAACGCTACAGGGTCATCGATCGATATATCGAGAGGAGGTGTATATGCTCTGCTTCCTTCCGTACAAAGCAAAACGATGACTGAATCTGGGCGGAAGATTTCAGGGTGGTGGGCATGAATGGATAAAAGGGTGGCAAGAGTAGCAGCACCGCAAGGGCCAGCACTTACTCCCAAGTTGTCGAGTTCTTGAACAGCTTGGTGACACTCTATGTCTGAAACAGATGTTGCAATATCCACGCCACGCGAAAGTAATGGCCAAGCAATAGTAGATAAAGTGGCACAATGTAATCCAGACATGATAGTATGGCTTGTACTAATGGTCGTGAATGCCTTCTTTTCCAAGCTACCCTTTAAACAGGCAGCTGTATCGGGTTCAACCGTAATGATCGTTGTTGAGTTGTGATTTCTCGAACGTTTGTAATGCGAGACAACAGCTTGAGCGAGCGATCCTACTCCAACTGGAGTTATCACAACATCAGGACATCTGTTGTTTATCAAGGGTGCAGTTTGATCATCAATTTCTTGAAGCATGGTATCGTATCCATCCACTATCCACTTCAAAATCGGTCGGTTAAGAAAGGCAGCGTGAAGATATTACAGGCCATGTGGGAACATACCTGAGGGATCTCTTCATAACCGTTGAATGCAGTGTCTTGGATATAGAGGCCACCTGGCGTAGCTCTAGTTTGATCGTAGGCCATTTGCACGGCCAAATCATAGTCTCCAGCAACGTTGGTTAGAGTAGCGCCTTCGGCCATAATAAGGTTTTTGGTCGATTCATACATATCTTGCGGTACAAAGATATGTGATTTCACGCCTAACAGACTTGCTACATGGGCTATTGCTCTACCGTGATTTCCTTCTGTAGCTGCGAACAAGGTGATGGGTGATCCAAAGGAGCTGATGGCACGCTTCAAGCTGTTATAAGAGGTATCTGAGTTGTCATCAGTGTAATCGACGAGTTGTGCAATCGCTCTGTAGGCTCCCCACGATGCTCCGAGGAACTTGAACGCCGGAAGACCAAAACGACTGGATTCATTTTTCAGCAGCACCTTTCGCACGCCCAATTTTTCTGCTACAGAGGCCAGCTCTACCAATGGTGTTGGACAATAACCAGGGAGCTGCTTATGAAATGACAGTGGTCGCGGATCGAAATGTGCATTTTCGAAAACTGAGCGTGCTGCAGGATTGAAAAAAGAGTTGTGTCTTAGTTTTGAAGACTGAGAAGACACCATTTATGGCGTCGAGTAATCCGAAAGAAAACAAAGCCTGGGAATGCTGGGTTATTATGCCCAGTGAGTCATTCGCAAAAGGTTCAAGTTCCGAAGTCACTGGAAGCTTTGACCTGGGATGACATGTTTGTGAAAGTCTATTGTTTAGTCGAAATATAGGTAGAATTTCGCATGACTTTACGAGTTAACCTTGTGTTCTTTAGCCAAAATTCATAGCGGTGCAAAAATATCTGTATAACTACACTTGGGGTTGGTAAAATCTGCAATGGGCTTGATGCAATGCTTGCATTTGACGTTACAATTCGCACGGTGTCTCGTGGCACTATTCGTGAGCAATCTCGGATATCCCTGCGTGCTAAGTACCGGTAAAGCAAATAAAAATTGCGGAAGTCGGTAGTATTTGGCAATTATGGGTAGTAATGGATGAATTGGTATCTGACTGTCAAATTGGCGTCGGCTGCACCCACAACTTTCATCCCCACCAGTCATTTCAATATCAGGTGCAGTCTACCAATTAAGCGTAGCCATAATCGGTCAAGTTTTGCCTTGATGGAACCCAGGTACTTGAAACATGAACAAAAAGCAAATGCCTATAATTTAGCCACGTGAGCGGGTGTCGAAAATAAAGCTCTGGGTAAATTCCAAGTTGTAAACATCTCGTATTTGTCAATAAAGACAGTGGAAATATCAATGCGTATCAAAATTTTGAAGGACCAATGGCTAAGACAGTTGCCAAGATCGTATATATACCTGTAAATTGCAATGTTGCTATGTAACTGGAAGATATATTCGCGGTGTAGAAAACGCGGCAACGGATAAAAACCGGCAGCATGAATTGACCGAAACTTCACAACGGCCCGTTAGACGATCATCAAATCAGGCTAAACATACCTCCGATTTTTCCAGAATTACCATATAAATACGGTGGAGTGGTCTTCAAGATGCAGGTTCAAAGTCATGGCATTCCCATTCGCTTTACTACTTCCTACCCTAGGACCAGCAATTGCTGGTTCAGTCATCTATGGCGTCCTTTTGCCTATTTTGATATGGAGAACTCACACCACGCACAGCTTCAGCCCTTACATTATGTTGACCATCTTTTCTATATTGCGATGCGTTGGATTTGCTTGCCGCGCTGCCTGGTCTCAGCAAACCAGTCAAGGCATCACTGGCTTGGTCTATGCGGCTAATATCCTGCAATATGTTGGTTTTATTCTGGAAATTTTCGCCGTCATCAATCTTACAATCAATTGGATCCACGCTTCTTTGCGTGAGGGATCAAAACCCCCCAAAACCGAAAAATTGGCCTTTATTGCTCTACGCATACTTGTTATTTCTGCACAGATTCTGACCATTATCGGTGCGGTTATGCTTCTAGTTGGCGCTGGTAGCGGAAAGCTCAATTTGGTATCCACAGGCACCAATCTGAAAAACGCCTCTTACTATCTATTTTTCGCAAGTGCTTTTTTGGGCTTTTGCGTACTCCACTTTTACTACTTCACAAACTTTTCAAGAGCAAGAACCGCTGACTACCTGCTTATTTTGGTCCTATATCTGCTCCTTCTTTTTAAGCTCTGTTTCCGAATGGCTGCTCAGAATTTGTCTGCATCCGACAATGTAAATACAAAGGAAGCCTTCTATTTCGGAATCGATGCATTGCCCGAGCTCTTGATCTGCTTGATTGCCGTCGGCATCAATCTGTCTAGAGTCAAAAATGGATTCGAGCCATGGAATGCCAAACGAGAGCGCAAGCTTTCAGAAACCAAGGAGTTGGCGTAATTACTTGAAGAATAAGATTACGATATGCTGCCCGCCTAAATAGACTATTATACCATCAACCCTCCTCCCAAACTGTAGCAGTAGCTTATATTAAATGTAACAATTTTTTAGATAAATTTTATGTCATTAATAGAGTATGTAAATCATTTACTGAATGGTCGGATTGCTTTGTTGCCT